CACACGTTGGTTTGTGAGTATATTATATTATGTACCAAAGGCTGGTGCACTCTCTGCTTATTGTTGCAGTTTGTCCATTGTACTGCAGTCTTATGAGGGCAGCATAGCATGGTGTTTCAATTTTGGGTCAAGAATGGAACAGGGATGCAAGAGCCTACACTGTGTGCACAATTATTAGTCAAGTGTTTTCTTGTTTTTGGTTTTTGTTTTTTTTAACCAAATCATCATTTTATGCATATTGCCAACTCTAAGCTCCTGAAAATTTAAATTTTTACATATGTTTTTGTGTAATGGGGGAGGGTGTGGCCTAAGGAGATCATACACCTTATATCAAGGTGTGCATTATTAGCTTCTTTTCCTTAGGCAAAATGGGCCAAAAAAGAGATTTAACTGACTCTGAAAAGTAAAAAATTGTAAAAAGTCTTGCAGAGGGATGCATCACTCTTGAAATTGCTAAGATATTGAGGCGTGATCACAGAACCATCGAACATTTTGTTGCAAATAGTCAACAGGGCCGCAAGAAATGTGTTGAGAAACTAAAGACGCAAATTACAATGCCTAAAAAAAGTATTCACACCCCTTCAAATTTTCCACATTTTGTCATGTTACAGCCAAAAACCTAAATGTATTTTGTTGGAGTTTTATGTGATAGATCAACACAAAGTGGCACATAATTTTGAATTTAAAGGACAATGATAAATGGTTTTCAAAATTTTTTACAAATATCTGAAAAATGTGGCATGGATTTTTATTCAGCCCCCTTTACTATGATACCCCTAACTAAAATCTAGTGCAACCAATGGCCATCAGAAGTCATAATTATTAGGCAAGTGTTTTCTTTTTTTTTTTTTTTTTTTTTTTACCAAATCATTTTATGCATGTTACCCAACTCTAAGCTCTGTAAATTTGAATTTTTACATATGTTTAGTTTAGTAAATAGAGTCCACCTGTGTGTAATTTAATCTCTGTGTAAATACAGATGTTTTGTGAAGCCCTCAGATGTTTGTTAGAGAACATTAGTTAAACAGCATCGTGAAGGCCAAGGAACACACCAGACAGGTCAGGGATAACGTCGTGGAGATGTTTAAATCAGGGTTCGGTTATAAAAAATTATCCCAAGCTTTGAACATGTCACGGAGTGCTGTTCAATCCTTCATCCGAAAATGGAAAGAGTATGGCACGACTGCAGACCTACCAAGACATGGCCGTCCACCTAAACTGACAGCCTGGGCAAGGAGAGCATTAATCAGAGCAGCAGCCAAGAGGTCCATGGTAACTCTGGAGGAGCTGCAGAGATCCACAGCTCAGGTGGGAGAATCTGTCCAGAGACAACTATTAGTCGTGCACTCCACAAACCTGGTCTTTATGGAAGAGTGGAAAGAAGAAAGCCATTGTTGAAAGAAAGCTGTAAGAAGTCCCGTTTGTGAGAAGCCATGTCGGGGACACCGCAAACGTGGAAGAAGATGCTCTGGTCAGATCAGACCAAAATAGAACTATTGGGCCTAGAAGTAAAATGCTATGTGTGATGGAAAACTAACACTGCACACAACCCTGAACACACCATCCCCACCGTGAAACATGGTGGTGGCAGCATCATGTTGTGGGGATGCTTTTCTTCAGCAGGGACAGAGAAGCTGGTTAAAGGAAAGTACTGCCGATAACCGGCAATTGTCAGAGAAGTGATTGGCACTGAACATCAGGCAATGAGGATCAGTGCCCTGCAGTGCCGCCCATCTTTGCCTTGCAGTGTCCAGCAGTGTCACCCACCTGTACCCATCAGTGCTGCCTAGCAGTGCCGCATCATCAGTGCCACCTATCAGTGCAGCCTCATCACCGCACATCAGCGAAGGAGGAAAATTACCTGTTTGCAAAATTTCATAATAGAAACAAAGAAAACTTTTTTTTTTTTTGTTTATAGCGCAAAAAATAAATACCACCAAAAGAAAGCTCTATTTGCGTGAAAAACATAATAAAAATTTCATATGGGTACATGGGTGTTACATGACTGCGCAATTGTCATATAAAGTGCGACAGCGCTGAAAATTGGCCTGGGCAGGAAGGGGTTAGAAGTGCCTGGTAGGCAAGTGGTTAATTGGCACTGAACCCCGATGATATTTGATCTCTTTCATGTTCAGGTAAATCTCCACCTCTCAAAGGTTGCCTACTCCTGGTTTAGATCAAAGCATATGTATGTGTTAGAATGGCCCAGTCAAAGTCCAGACCTAAATCCAATTGAGAATCTGTGGCAAGACTTGAATATTCAGACATTCTCCATCCAATCTGTCAGAGCTTGAGTTATTTTGCAAAGAAGAATGGGCAAAAATGTCACTCTAGAGTGCAAAGCTGGTAGAGACTTCCCCAAAAAGACTTGCAGCTGTAATTGCAGCAAAAGGTGGCTCTACAAAGTATTGACTCAGAGGGGCTGAATACAAATGCACACCACACTTTTCACATAATTATTTGTAAAAAATGTTGAAAACCATTTATCATTTTCCTTCCACTTCACAATTATGTGCCACTTTGTGTTAGTCTAACACATAAAATCCCAATAAAATACATTTATGTTTTTGATTGTAACATGACAAAATGTGGAAAATTTCAAGGGGTATGAATACTTTTTCAAGGCACTGTAATTGCCAAAGATTTGAGAAGAATCAAATGTGAAGCTACCAGGAACCCATTATCCTCCAGTGCTGCCATATTCCAGAACTGCAACCTATCTGGAGTGCCCAGAAGTACAGGGTATTCAGTGCTCAGAGACATGGCCAAGGTAAGGGAGGCTGAAACCCGACCACCACTGTACAAGACACATACGTTGAACCGTCAAGACTGGACAAAGAAATATCTGAAGACAGATTTTTCAAACGTTTTATGGACTGAAGAGATGAGAGTGACTTTTGATGGACCAGATGGATGGGCCCGTGGCTGGTTCAGTAACACGCACAGAGCTTCACTTCGACTCAAACAGCAACGATGTGGGGTTCTTGTATGCGCTGGTATTATTACTGTAATAATACCAGCCCATATCAGAACCCCACTTCAACCTTGCTAGCTTCTTGTGACCCTGGTGTCTATTTGCAACAAAATGTTTGATTGTTCTGTGATCACGCCCCAATATCTTAGCAATTTTAAGATTCAGCTTCTTGCATCCCTCTGCAAGACTTTTTACAATTTTTTACTTTTCAGAGGCCGATAACCCCCCTGGTGGTATTCCTGAGTGTAGCTCGGTGTTAAGTTTCAGTACCAGAAGCGGTAACCCCAAGCTACACTCGGGATTACACTGCAGTGTTGCTCTGGGATACCTGGATCACTTACCTTGTCCCGCGGTCCTGTGCTGTCCTCCCGCTGCTTCCCCGGCCATGTCCTCCGGCCGATGCCGGGTTCCGGTTCCTGCAGGCGTCGGGACGTACGGGGGACGGAACCGGCGGGAGATTAAAAAATGTCAAAATTTTACATACACGTAATACACTAAAATCTGATAGTATTACATTACTGTATCAAACCATTTCACATACATTTTGTCCCTAGTGCTTTGTCTTGTGCCCTGCCTGCATTTTTACTGTTCTTTCTGCCTGGAAACTGAGAAATTTCCATGGCGTCCAAAAAGCGTCCCTTTAGGTCAAAAGCGGTTTTAGACCAGCTAGAGAACAGCGATTAGTAAATTAGAATTACTTGCAGAATTGAGTGATAATGATTCGTGGGGAAATTCGTCATCAGACACTGAAAACGATTTTGCGACTGAGCTCAGTGATGTGCGAACTTCAGATTTCAGTGTTTTTTGGTTTTATTACGTTATTGAATTACATTTATTATTATATTTTTCATTATGATTATTTATATTATAATTTATGATTTCGTGTTTCAAATTTTATCATACCCGGGATGTTTACTAGACTCGTGTTACTAACTCAGTGAGTTATTCCTAAGAATTACAGGCCTACAATAAAAAAACAACATATTTCCATTGAAAACAATGTACCACTTTGAGCACAGAAATACTGACATAATCAGACCGCTAGGGAGGTTAAATCTCTTTTTTGGCCCATTTTGCCTGAGGAAAAGAAGCTGCCTAATAATTATGCACACCTTGATATAGTATGTTAATCTTTTAGGCCACACCCTCCCCCATTAAACAAATACACATCACCTGATATGCCTAAATTGAATCAAGTTTATACTTGAATAAATATAAGCTTGGAGTTGGGCAATATGCATAAAAATGATGATTTGGTCCAAACAACTCACTTGCCTAGTAATTGTGCACACAGTGTATAACATTGGAGTACCACACTCGGGCACAGGAGGTATTTTGTCTATTTAGCTTTCTCTTTGTCACTGATGTTACCAGGGGATTTGTGGTATTTGACCTGGTGAGAGCCTTTAACTTGTTGCTCTGTGGTTTGGTTGTGTGATGCTGGTTGATTGCTGACTATGAAGGCGTACATACATGAGCAGTCAATTCCATTAATTGGCTTTGTTGCCAAATACTGTTGAGATCATGATATCTATGATTCATTGTTTAACCACTAGCCTACAGGGCACTTATACCCCCTTCCTGCCCAGGCCAATTTCCAGCTCTCAGCGCTGTCACGTTTTGAATGACAATTGCGCGGTCATGCAACACTGTACCCATATGAAATTTTTATCATTTTTTTGAGACGGCTTAGCTTTCTTTTGGTGGTATTTAATCACCTCTGGGATTTTTATTTTTTCTTAAACCAAAAACCACTGAAAATTTTGAAAAAAAACCCAGTTTTTTCTTAATTTTTGTTATACAATTTTGTAAATAAGTGATTTTTCTCTTTCACTGATGTGCGCTAATGAGGCTGCAGTGATGGGCACTAATAGGCTGCACTGATGGACACTGATAGGTGGCACTGATGAGGAGGCACTGGTAGGTTGCACTGAAAGGCAGCACTGATACATGACACTGATATATGGCACTGATAGGCAGCACTGACTGGCACTGATAGGTGGCACTGATGCGCACTGATAGGCGACACTGACTGGCACTGATAGGCAGCACTGATAGGCGGCACTGATTGGCATTGATAGGTGACATTGAAAGGCAGCTCAGATGGGCACTGATATGTGGCATTGATGTGCACTGATATGTGGCATTGATGTGGCACTGATGGGCACGTGGCACTGAGCACTGACTGCTGGCACTGATGGACACTGAGAGGTGGCACTTCTGGGGCCAGACTGATCATCAGGGCACACTGATCATCAGTGCCCTGATGATCAGTGTACATGTCCCCTCCGTGGAAAGCCGATTACCGGCTCTCCTCTCCTCTCGTGCTGTCAATGTGACAGCTCGAGAGGAGAGAAATGCTGATAACCGGCATTTCCGTGTTTACATGTGATCAGCTGTGATTGGACACAGCTGATCACATGACCGAGCTGACATCTTCGGCTCTTTCCGTCATCCGCTGTGTCCGAGGGACACAGCGCACCGGCAATTGCCGTGCTGCGCGCTCCCTGAACTGTGCATGCGCGGTGAGAATGGAAGGACGTCATATGACGTCCTATCAGAATGAGAGAACCACCTTGCGCCCGTCATTGTACTATATGGCGGGCGGAAGTTGGTTAAGGGGTTACATTCCACTGTCAGGGACATTCCCACTTTGGTACCCCTTTGATTTTGGAGGAGCTTTAGGAACTAAGAACCGTTTTGCCACTAGAGGTCTATGACACGGTTATTGGTAAAACTATGGAGAGAAAGCAATGTCCAGCTGTAGTTTCTGTCATAATAGCTAGGGATATCAGAAAAATAACTATTCTGTTAACATTTATATAGTCTATTTGTGTTTTTTCACTTTTCCTTGTTCTTCCAGGTTCCCATAATTGACACGCCACATGCAAATACCATGTTTTATACAGAGGAATGACCACCAAGGGCTCATTTTCTTGCTTGATTCAGAATGTGTACATCAGTACAAAGCATGGAAGAAGAGGCATCTTTCATATAACTACCTGAAAAAGACTTTTACATCTGGATAAAAACTCAGGAACTCTTACGAAATATGGCGGGTGCAATTGCTTCAAGAATGAGCTTCTCTTCCCTAAAGAGGAAACAGCCCAAAACATTCACTGTTCATATCATTACAATGGATGCAGAGATGGAATTTAACTGTGAGGTAATGATGCATTGATGGTGCTCTATGTATATGCATTATAAACCAAGAATAACATCTGTTGGCATTCAGCTGATCAGTTGAGCCAAAAGAGCTTTTTTTTCCCCATCTCTAAGCACTGCTAACTGAATGATCGGCTGTCAGACACAGGCATATAACAACAGATAAGACCGATACCATAAAATAGAAAGATGAAATTTGGCAGATTTTTCTTTTGTGTGCATAAGACCAACCTGGTTACTTAAAGATGAAAAGCTGTCAAGACAATGAGTTGTAGACATATTCAAATTTGAATATTTTCCGAAATTTCTAATGATATGTTGAGCATGGAAGTTCTTTTCACGCTTTTAAGAGCATAGGATCAATTCAAGAGCTTTAAAGTTCACATTTTTCAGAAAATAGCCTATGCAATCAAGGGGCCCCAGTGGATATTAAAGAATAAATTCACCTTTTTACCAAAAATAGTAACTACATTTTTTTGCCTGGAAACCATGCAGGTCTCCTGCAGATCTGTCAGTGGTGCACAAAAATTAAAATTCTGGTGCAGATACCGAAAATTCAGAATGCATGTGGCCGAAAACCAAACTGAAATGTCTGCGTATGTGGGGGTGGGGAGGATCCAAATTTTTTTTTTTTTAATGTTTTCTACTTTCATGTATATTTTTATTTTTTAACTTATGAGTTTATTGCGATCACATAGGGGACAAATAGTCCCCTATGTGATAGCATTTGAGTGACAGGCCGTCTTTGTGGGGGGGGGGGCAGTATGTGTAAGGAGAGGAGCATTGTATACAGTGAGGGAACAGTGTATACAGAGACGCTCCCTCACTGGCTGCCACTATATGTCAGTGCCGGTTTATAAATGCAATTGCCGACTTTTTTTTTTTCTTCACTATAGCTCAGAGAATGAGCTGTCACTGTCCTCGGAGCTAAAGAAAACTTTGTTTCTTCTAGCTCAGGGAAAGAAACTAAAATGAAACTTTGTTTCTTTTAGCTGGGGGAAAGTGACAGCTCATTCTCTGAGCCAGTGTTTCTCAACCTTTTTTCAGTCAAGGCACCCTTTAAAATTCTGCACTCTCAAGGCACCCCAATCTAAAATGTAAACTATTCTACACACATCCGGTACACCCAACATTAGAGGTGATTTATTCTTCCAAAGCAAATACAACTTTGCACACTGGTACCGACTGGTATTCCAGTGTGTCTCATTTTCTCTCCCTCACTCTGCTAATGTTACCCCAGTGCTGAAGGAGAGGTGTAGGGGAGGGCCAAACAAGGATGATGTGCATGCACCCAAAATCCTCCTTAACAACTGATGATGTCATTGGTTGTTAGGATGCTGGCAGCTAGAAGGTCATAAAAGTGCACAATGAAAACCTGTGGCTTTGTGTACTAAAAAGCAGGATTGATCCACCTGCTGGCTATACAATTTTTGGGCATTATGCCAAGGCACCCCTGAAGAAGCCTGAAGGGCACCCTGGTTTAGAGAGGCTGCTCTGAGCTATAGTAAAGGAGAAAAAAAAAGCCGGCAATTGTATTTATAAACTGGCACTGACATATACAGTTGCAAGAAAAAGTATGTGAACCCCTTGGGATTACGTGGAGTTTGGCATGAATTGGGCATAAAATGTGCTCTGAACGTCATCTAAGTCACAACAATAGAAGAACACAGTCTGCTGAACATAATACTACACAAACAGATGTTGCCATGGTTTAATTGCACATAACATGTAAACATTCACAGTACAGGGAGGAAAAAGTATGTGAACCTTTGGACTTAATAACTGGCTGACCCTCCTTTGGCAGCAATAACCTCAACCAAACGTTTCCTGTAGTTGCAGATCAGACCTGCACAACGATCTGGAGTAATTTTGGACCACTCCTCTTTACAAAACTGTTTCAGTGTAGCAATATTCTTGGGATGTCTGGTGTGAATCGCTCTCAAGGTCACGCCACAGCATTTCATTTGGGTTGAGGTCAGGACTCTGACTGGGCCACTCCAGAAGGCATATTCTGTGCTGTTGCAGCCATTGTTTTGCTGAATTACTTGTATGCTTTGGGTCATTGTCCTGTTGCATCACCCATCCTCTGCAAAGCTTCAGTGGGCGGACAGATGGTCGTACGTTTTCCTGCAAAATGTCTTGATAAACTCCGGAATTCATTTTCCAATCAATGACAACAATCTGTCCAGGCCCTGAGGCAGCAAAGCAGCCCCAAACCATGATGCTCCCTCCACCATGTTTTACAGTGGGGATGAGGTTTTGATGTTGGTATGCTGTGCCTTTTTTTTTTCTCCACACATAGTGTTGTGTGTTCTTCCCAAACAACTCAATCTTGGTTTCATCTGTCCACAGTATATTTTGCCAGTAGTGCTGTGGAACATCCAGGTGCTCTTTTGCAAACTTCAAACGTGCTGCAATATTCTTTTTGGACAGCAATGGCTTCCTCCGTGGTGTCCTCCCATGTACTCCATTCTTGTTTAATGTTTTCCTTATTGTAGATGTGTCAACAAAATGTTAGCATGTGCCAGAGATTTCTGTAGGTCTTTAGCTGACACTCTGGGATTCTTCTTTTACCTCATGCAGCATTCTGCGCTGTGCTCTTGTAGTCATTTTTACAGGACGACCACGCCTAGGGAGAGTAGCAATAGTGCTAAACTTTCTCCATTTGTAGACAGTCTGTCTTACCGTGGACACATGAACATCAAGGCTTTTGGAGATACTTTTGTAACCCTTTCCAGCTTCATGCAAGTCAACAATTCTTGATTGTAGGTCTTCTGAGAGCTCTTTTCTGCGAGGCATGGTTCACATCAGACAGTGCTTCTTGAAACCAGTAAAACCAAAACAGGTGTGTGTTTTTTAAGGGCAGGACAGCTGCCAGCAACACATCCAATATCATCACACTGATTGGAGTCAAGGTTGGCTCACTCCTGGCTCCAATTAGCTCTGGGAGAAGTCATTAAGCTAGGTTCTCACATACTTTTTCCTCCCTGCACTGTGAATGTTTACATGTTATGTGCAATTAAACCATGGCAACATCTGTTTGTGTAGTATTATGTTCAGCAGACTGTGTTGTGACTTAGATGACGTTCAGAGCACATTCTATGCCCAATTCATGCCAAACTCCACGTAATCCCAAGGGGTTCACATACTTTTTCTTGCAACTGTAGTAACAGCCAGTCACTGTACACTGCTCCTCTCCTGCCTTTCTCTGCGCCCCCCCTCACATTTGCTGTACACACAGTCCCCTGTATCGGCTACATGTTTCCTATTGGCAAAATGCCAGTAGGGCTGTTTTTAGGCCGATATGTTTCGGTGGCTGAAATTTCAGTGCATCCCTAGTCAGTATATCTGCTTGCCCGATACGGGATGTACAAGCAAGCAAATGTACTGCACAGCACCGTGGTAGTTCATTGAGAACTACAAGCCGACAGTCGCTAAAGCTGTCAGGACTTTTAGTTTGTCATTTACAGAGGACTGTAAATGAGTGATGTTACCTAGCGGGCGGAGCCCCACACGGCCACATTTTTACAAAATTTGACAGCTAATGAGGGGTAAGAAGATCCCCCGCTAGCTGTCACCGTGCGTATACACAAATGCAAACGCATTCATAGATCCTGCACATGTATGTAAACAGATTGCATTGATGCAAATGTCGTAGTATGAGCCATAACTTTAGGGCCATCATTTGCAATTACCTTTATACCAATTACTTGTAAGGGCTTTTAGAGTGTCACCTAGGAAAATGTTAGGCTCCATAGTTTGTTGCCATTTCATGGGCGTGCACAAATTTGAGTCTTGACATGTTTTGGAAATATTACATAATTGCCCTAGCAAGCAATATTAGTTTTGGATAGAGTGGAGAGGGATTAAAACACCTGCTTGTTTTTCTTTTTATTGCTTTCTGTGCTGCAGGTTAGAGAGATTTCCTTTCTCTTTGTCCTGTTTTACTGTTATCATCAAAAGTGAAATAGAAAAGCCCAGATATTGAGTTGTCACCAGAACAGAATTGGAGTGGAAATTTTTCATTGGGAACACTAGTTTTGGTGATAAGCAGGGATTTTTCTCACTTTGCCTATACTGGCTATGAGACAAGATGTGAAGCAAAATCTGCCCAATGGGACACAGACAGCAAAAAAAAAAAAAAAAAAAAAATGGCCAGGGGTTATAACACTCTTTTATTCTATTCAGAATTTAAAAAATGCCTTTTAGTTTTCCTTTTAAGGCATCATTCACACCATACATGCAGAAAAACTGCCGGGAAGATTTCACTTGCAGAGACATCCATTTACATCTACGATTCAATGAGTTTTGTATACGTTGCAGATTCCTGTGCAGAAAAAATCCGCACATGATAGTAGTGTTGTGATGTGAACATGGCACATAGAGATCAGTTGGTTTTTTTTTTTTTTTTTGTGCCCTTGCAGAACATGTGCAGAAACACTGACGTCTCTGCACCACGGTGTGAATGAGGACTAAGGCAGACAAAGCCAAAAAAATCTGTGCTCCAACTGCCTGTGTAAATGGTTGTGAACAACTGCCAACTGTAAATATTTAAATGAACTGGATACTGAACACAAGATGATGGGAATTCCAATGAGTATTATAGGCTAGTTGGAGAGTACAGTATTTGTGCTACAGAAAGGTTGTCCTGCTTGCGATCTATGTTAGGAGTGTGCTTAAAGACTTTTTGGTTGTTGGAAAGATTTAAAGTGGAACTTTACCCATAGCGACTAGATAAAAATAATGTTCTTTAGCAAGGAACATGCATTCCATATTAATCATGATGCTACCAAAACTAGTGTGTTCTGTAAATTGCCTCCACCATTGTTCCTGTTTCTTCTTGCTAGAGCTGGCAATTTTGCTAAAGCCCAGAGCCAAAAATAAGCAAAAAAAAAGTTTTTTTTTCTTTTTGTTTCTATTATAAAATTTTGCAAACAGGTACATTTTCTCCTTCACTGATGTGTGTTGATGAGGCTGCACTGATAGGCTTCACTGGTGGGA